TCATAAACTGTCCTGGGCAGTACAAGCTTCACCATGGCCTGAGTGTTCTGCACGACCGTGAGGGCGGATTCTTGACGACCCAGCATGATCCGTCTTTCCCTGTCTTCGACTACACGAATGGCCCTGGGAAGATGCTTCAGACTTACGTGCCCAAGGCTGAGCCCGTTGAAAACAAGATGCGCGCCTTCCTGACGCCATCTGGCGAATCCTTGACCGCAGTTGCGGAGTTCGAGCAAAGGATGGCGCGCAGGGAACGCGACGATTGGGTGCGCCATCCCTTCAGAGTGAAGCAGGGCAACCTCGACGACAAGATATGGCATGGCGCCTTCGGCAGGGCGAGGCACGGAGCGCACTTCCCTCTGGTGGCTTTCACGCGCAATACGTGCCGCAGGTCACCTGAAAGACTCGCCGCGAGGTTGGAACGCAGGAAGGGCGGCAGGAAGGGCGGCAAGAAGGGCGGCAAGAAGGGCAGCTACGCGGACACCGCAGTTGCGGGGAAGGGCGTCCGACCCCAGATGGGAACCGCAGTTGCGGGGAGAGACGCTGGGGCTGAGCGAGCTGGGAACACGCCACCGCCGCAAGCTGCCAACGGCGACGATGCGACCCCTTCTTGTGCCGCAGTGGCGGCTGGGTCCTGGGACGCCAGCGGCAGCGGCGCATGGGAGGCGCGCAGTCCCGCCACGAGATGGCAGGGCTGGTCCTGGTGGGACTGGAGCTCGAGCGAATGGGGCGCTGATGGCGCGCAGTGGTGGCCCTCTGATCATGCCGCAGTTGCGGACAATGCCCCTGAGGGCTCGCCTCCTCAGCGTGAAGTCGAGTGGGGCTCGAGCGGGCGACCTGCCGAGCGCCCTCCGCGGAGCTTCGAGGGGCAGCGTTGGTGATGGCCGCAGTTGCGGGCAAGTGGAGCATGATGTTGATTGCCGCAGTTGCGGACAGTGTACGCTGGAAAAATCATCATCATCATCAATCATAATCATCATCATATCATCATATCATACGTTCAAAGCAGTGCCGGGGCACTGCTTTGAACGCGTTCAAAGCAGTGCCGGGGCACTGCTTTCGATCGTCGCCTCGTCGCCGTTATAAGGGCTTTCGGATTAACCCGAGGACTCATTGGGGGGTTTGTGAACAACCGTGAAGAGCTTAGGACATTTGAGAAGTCTCGAAAGCTCCTGGACAACATCTGTTTGTCTGCTGGCGCCTGGGCCATTCCAGGACACATCGAGTGGATTGCTGAGCCCAGGGGGCGCGCTATTTTTTAAAAACGATGTTCTTGGTCTGGTTGATTTCCTAAACCCCCTGGGGGTTCCTGGCTTGCCCCGTTGCCGCCGCCTGTCGGTCGAACCATTTCAGGGCAACGCTCTGTCATTGTCCATATAGTCAAGCAAGTTTGGACACATATTTGTTCAGCGCATCGCCGAGCCGCGCGCTGAATGGCGCCCCCCTGGCAGACATCGCGCACCTCGGACCTCTTAAGCTCTGAAACCTTCGCGCGTGAATCTCTCGCTCGCACTGGGGGGAGGGGGCGGGCGGGTGGGGGGCAGGGGGGCATGGGGGGAGGCGTGGAGGAGACGGTGGCGGCAGTGCTGGCAGGGCGGCAATGCTGTCAGCCAGCCCCCCAGTTGCGCGCCGCCGCGGTGCCGAGGCAATGTCTCGCACTACGGCGGCTACAGATTCGCGCTCTTGAGAAACATGGGGCACAGCGGCATCGATGCCGCGCTGTGCATGGTGTCCGAGGGCGGCCAGGTGGTCCGGCAGACTGGGGCCGCCTGGGAGGTGAACCTCGCCGACAACATCATCTGCGACAGCAGGCGGCTCGCTGGGCCGCCCTCGCCCAGGGCGAATTGAGCGAGGACAGGGGGGGAGGCCGAAAGAGACAGAGAGAGAAAGGGAGGGGGGGAGAGGGTCTTAGAAACGCAAGCGAGAAACATTTATGCATGTGTATATATATACATAAAGGAGAGAGAGAGAGAGAGAGAGAGAGAGAGAGAGAGAGAGAGACGGAGAGAGAGAAAGAAAAGAGAGGGAGAGAGAGAGAGAGAGAGAGAGAGAGAGAGAGAGAGGGCGAGAGAGAAGGGAGAGGGAGAGAGAGAGAGAGGGATAGAGAGAGAGAGAGATAACCATTCACGCGATTCACATCGAGAGCTAGGGGCAGAATGCAGCAGCTGCCGAGTCGTCTCAGTCGTCTTGTCTTCCCTTTTCACCAGAGGTCCTCCTCCTGAACGCATATCCCCCCGCGTCCTTCCACGGGAGGGGATATCCAGATTTGGTCATGGCCCCCCTCCCTCGGAAGGGCCCCTGGACCCCCTGCCACAGCGACCAAATTTGGTTAAATACTACGTACCCTCGGAAAGGGCACCTGGACCGTGATTCCCTGCCACCGTAGCCAAATTTGATTGCGGTCCCTTCCCCGAAAGGATCCCTGGGCCCCCTGCCGCTGGTGCCAAATTCTAGACGCTGCGCGTATCCCCCCACCAGCCCATCCACAAACGATGCGTAGGGGAGCTGACGGAAGAAAGGAAGAAGAGACGCACATAGTGAAACCGAGCGGGCAACAACGGTGAATTGGGAGATCTTTTGTGGTGAAGGTTGCATGTGTTGCTGCTGGTGCTCTTGCTCCTGCTGGTACTGCTTTTGCTGCTGTTGCTGCTGGTGTTGCTGGTTCTTCAAGCGGCCCTGGAGGGCGCTGAAAGAACCCCCAAGTGTCACCGAGCTTCCAAAATACCCCCAAGCCCAGAATGGTGGCTGGAACTGATTTTCGCAGCGATTTTCGCCTTAATGTGAATGTCAGTTCCAGTCGTTGCGGCCCCGGAACAGCTGAGCTGAACTGTTCATCGAAAATGACGCCAACAGAACTTCAAGCGCGCCCGGGAGGGCGCTCAAAGAACTCCCAAATGACCTCAAGCTTCCAAGATGGCCCCAAGCCCAGAATGATGACTGGAACTGATTTTCGCGAAAATCAGTTCCTGCTGGTCGTTGCGGTTCTGGAACAGCTGAGACGAACTGTTCGTCGAAAATGGTACCAAAAGAACTTCAAGCGCGCCCCGGGAGGGCGCTGAAAGAACCGCCAAGTGACCTCGAGCCTTCAAAATCGCCGCAAGCCCCGAATGGTGGCTGGAACTGATTTTCTGCTTAATGCGAAAATCAGTTCGAGCCAGTCGTTGCGGCTCCGGAACAGCTGAGCTGAACTGTTCGCCGAAAATGGCGCTAACGGAACTTCAAGCGCGGGGCCCTGGAGGGCGCTGAAAGAACCCCCAAATTACACCAAGCCTCCAAAACACCCCCAAGCCCAGAATGGTGGCTGGAACTGATTTTCGCCTGAACGCGAACATCAGTTCTAGCTAGTCGTTGCGGCTCCGGAACAGCTGAGCTGAACTCTCACCAAAACTGACGCACAACCGAAGTTCAAGCGCGCCTCCGGGGGGGTTGGGCCGCTTGGGTCCTCTTGGGGGCCTCTTGGGAGCCTCCTGGGGCCATCTTGGGGGCCTCCCAGGCGCCTCTTGGGGCCATCTTGGAGGAGATCGATCAAAGGATAGGGTGGTGGCAATTAGCGTCCCGCCCCCCCTCGGGAGCCTCTAAAATCGCTTCTTGGACCCCTCTTGGAGCGCTCTTGGGCGCTCTTGGGGCCGTCTTGGGACTCTCTTGGGGCGCCCCTCTTGGAGCCATCTTGAGGCCTCGGACGGCCGTCGGAAGCGAAAAGGCGAGAAGGCGCACATCATTGGTTTTCCTTAGGTTTTTGAATGCTTTTGGCCTCTTGGAGGCCTCCTTGGGAGGGTATTTGGCCTCTTGGAGCCGTCTTGGGGCGGTCTTGGGGCCTTTTGGGGCATCTTCGGAGCCATCTTGAGGCGTCTTGGGCTATCTCGAGCCATCTTGGAGCTCACCTTGGGCTCTCCGAAGCGCTCTTGGAGCCGTCTTGGGCCATCTTGGACGCCCTGCCGACCAGCGGCCCCCCCGTCCTGGCCCAGGCGAGGGGGTGGGGGGAGGGGTAAACCCCTCCCCGAAGGGGAAGAAGGAGGGGTGGAAGAGGAAATTCTCTAAACCACCTACGCCCAGAGGGCTGCTGGGATTTGGTTACGGCCCCCCCCTCGAAAAGGCACCTCAGCCTGCGCCCCCTGCCGTCCGTCCCTCCCCCTCCTCCTCCCTCCTCCTCCTCCTCCTCCGCCTCCTCTTCTTCCTCCTTCCCCCTCCCCCTCCTCCTCCTCCTCCTCCTCCTCCTCCTCCTCCTCCTCCCTCCTCCTCCTCCCTCCTCCTCCTCCCCCCCCCTCCCCCAACTCTCTCCTTCTCGTCCGCCCATGGCGCCCGGCGCGCCGCCGCCTCCGACAGGCAGTGGTACAAGTGCCAGTCCGACGTGCTGGAGGCCTTCCACTCGGACGCGGACGCCTCGACGTCGGGCCACTGGACCTGGGAGATCCACAGCTACAGGGGGGATGGCTCCAACAGCAACATCCGGAGCAAGAAGGCGCTGGGGGGGAAGTCGGAGAGTCGCGTCTTGGGCATGGGGACCCCTGGGGGTGGCCACGTGAGGAGAGGCGGAGATAAGAGCGCCGAGGGTGCAGTGGGCGGGGGGCGGGCGAGGCGGGCAGAAGGCGAACGAGGAGGATGGGGGAGGGAAGATGAGGGGCAGGATGGGAAGGTGGAGGAGGAAGAGGAGGAGGAGGAGGAGGGGGAGAAATAAGAGGAGGAGGCGGACCGCAGGCGGAGGATGAGGAGGAGGAGGAAGAGGAGGAGGAGGAGGAGGAGGAGGAGGAGGAGGAGGAGGAGGAGGAGGAGGAGGAGGTGGGGGATACCGGGCGCAGACAACAGGCTGCTGTCGGAACTAGCGTAAGGACCTTTGATCTCGCGCGGCCCATGGGGCCCATGGGGGCCCATGGGGCCCATGGGGGCCCATGGGGCCTGTGCGGCCCCAAGGCCTTCACAGTCCAATGGCGGCCAATTGGGCCAATCATTACCCGACTTCCTCGACCGTCTCCCTGTTCGGCTACTTGGGCATCCCAGCCCAGGTGCAGAGCTGCGAGATTCACTCGAGGTTTTGCGGCGGACCGTTTCAAGACGACTGCAGCCGCGTCATGGTCACAGACTTGCAATTTCTGCCTGAAAAGTGCGACGGTGCCCGGATAACAGATATTTACCGGAAGCAGTTCCAGAGTATTGGCTGCCCCACGTGGGGTCAGCGACGCAGCGTTGTCGAGGAGGGCCCTGGGAAGCACGTCGCGATTTTTGTCCAGGTGTCGGATTGCGGTGGCGACCAGATGGGCCACTTCAGCGTCGTCGCTGCCGCTCTCGAGGCCGCCCTTCCTTCTCATCCATGGGCCCCGTGGGCCCTGACGGCCCTGCCCCCCCGTGGCAACCTGGGGCCGCTCTCCGGGGCCATCCTCGCCATCCTCTCCTCCCCATGCCAGGGATTGGCCAACCAGATCATCGTGAGGATTCCGTGCTGTATACATCAGCTCCATAGGATTTGCCTCAAGCAGTTGAAGAGACACCCTGGTCAGTTCGAGGCGACAGCGAAAATCATCAATTGCTGGAGGGCCCCAGGTAATCCGAGCAAGATGTCCAAGACTTGGACGTCGCTCTTCGGTGCCACGCACGCTGCGCGAGCAACGAAGAGGCTGCCCCCTCATCCACTGCGAGGTCGATGGTGTTCACTGGATGCGGCACAAGAGCATTTGTTGATTGGCGAACATGAGCTCCCCACAGTTTTCTTGAGGGCGATCTTCGCCAAACTTGATGCTGACGAGTACCGTGACGACGATTGCCCGCGCAACACTGACACGGAGCCGTACCAAGTCACCGTCGGCCGCTGGATCCGGGAATCGGCTGCTGCTCTCACCGACGATTCATTCTGGGCCAGGTGCGAGGGAGGAAACGAGTAGTCCGGGGAGGAGGAGGAGGAGAAGAGAAGCAATCCGAAGAGGGTATAAAGCCTGAGGGGGGGGGGGGGCTGAGGAGCTGCGGAGGAGCGAGGGATGAGGGGTGCCTCCTCCTGGCTCCTCGCCCCTCGCCCTTGGCCCCTCCTCGCCCCGTCGTCCTCTCGCGCCCCTCCGAGGCCCCCCCCCCCAGCCCCTCTGAGGAGGAGGAGGGGGAGGAGGATACTATAAGATCAGATTCCTATAGGTTTCATAAGGGCTCATTGGAATCCACGCTGAGACTGCGCAGAGCCGAAGGAGGGGGAGGATGGGAAGGAGGAGGGGGAGGAGGAGGACAAGAGGAGGAGGATGAGGGAGGCATGTGATTTACATTTATTTATTTATATATATATATATAGATGTGTAAAAAATAACAACATCTCCAGGATGCACTTACTCCGAGCGGCACGGTCGCCGATTATGCATTGCTTGCACTGGATGCCCCAGGGCGGGCCTCGCCCCGCAAAGCTACTGGTGCTGATGTTTGAGAGGGGGCCAGAATTTATGGAGCTCTTCGATGATCTACTTGATCCCTCCGTCGGCCGCTTGGAGTTCGACCCGCTGCGGCGGCGCGTCCACGAGGGCCCCCTTGACGAGGCGCATTGGGCAAGCGCTGCTGTGCTGGACACGCTTGGCAACGCCGCTGACTTTCACATGCGGCTTGTTGCGAGGTTCCAAGATTGGCCGTTCAAAGCGTTCTTCCTGATTCGTCGCGACCCCGACGAGGTTGACGATGTCCGGAAAGCCATTGCTACAGAACTTCTCGCAGTGTCTTTGATCAAGGACCCTTTCGCCATCAAGCTGAGGAGTACGTTCAACGATGAATTGTTCCATGCCTCGCAGACGGGGCTGTTAGATGGCCAGCTCTACAAGCTACTCGTTGACGTCTCGGAGCTGTGCCCTATCGACACTGACGAAATCGAGGGGATCAGCGGGATGATAAAACACATGTCGAGAACAAGCCCGAGTATCCAACTCAAGTTGATGTCCTCGAGGGTCGTCATCAAGAAACAGTTGCAACCGAGGGCGTGCTCGATCGAAGATCGGAAACGCATCATCAGCTGCGCCGTCAGGAACCACCACGCCATTGCGGACATCCAGAAGGAGGTTGGGCGGTTCGACCTCGCCCTGGCCGACTGCCCCCCGCTCGGCAGCGCGCCCCCGTTGGCAGATGCCGACGCGGCTGAGGGGGGCTTCGGCGAGCCGCCCCCGCCCCCGCCTGTGCCGCTGCAGGACCTCCCAGGTCGCGGGCGAGGTCGAGGTCGAGGTCGTGGAGGTCGAAGCCGTGGCCGCGGCAGAGCTGCCGCGAGAGCCCAGGACCAGGACGTGGGCGATGAGGAAGAAGCCTGGCGGAAGGAGGCAGAGCGAGAACGAGAGCGCAGGCGCAAATGCGCATGTGCGTTGGTGCTGGCGATCGGACCTGCTCAGCAAAAGGCCATTGGCGGGGACGCGATGGTGGAGCCTTCGGTCACTGTTGCTTTCCAGTTTGTCGTAGGTACGCGGAGGCGCGGCCCCATCAGTGACGACATGCCGCTCTCGGGATGTTTCGACTATGCACATCATAGTTGCTGGTTGTTCGTCATGAAGCGCGGCTACGATGTGTATATCGTGAAGGGCCGTCCGGACTCTCAGTCGCCTCTGAGGCCTTCCACGTTCACCATCAAGCTGCCTCTGGAAACCCAGTCGTTCAACAGCTTCATGAACGGCATCCACGACGAGATCCTTGCAAAACCAGGAAATCGCATTGTGCAAATCGAGCTGCTGAGACTGAAATGGAATCTTCGGCGACTCTGCGAGGCCGAGGTTGTCGGTCAACATAGCCTCTTCGATCTACGTCGGTTGTGCGGGTGCTTCCGCCAGCGGCGCCGCGGCTTTTCAGGTCGCCCGGAGTTGTTAGCAACGCAAAACCACCACCACCCACCCACCCGCCATCTCACTCTTTCCACTCCTTCCCTTTCCATGTCCTGCAGAACTCCTTGAGGCCACCGAGGCCACCTGGCCCCGTCGTCCAATTCCTCTGCCTCCAGACTCCTCCATCCCCCGCCTCCAGCCTCCTGCCCTTCGCCGTTCACTACGATCAGTTCCATCCGTCCTCCAGCCTCCTCCATCGCGATCGTATCCTCCATCACGACTCTCCAGCTTCTTCTCGAGCCCCCCTCCTCGCGCCTGTCCGCCCGCCCCCCTCTGCCCCGAGGTGGCGAGAGCGGCGGCGGCGGCGGCGGGCCCTCTGGAGCTGGCGGCGGGGCTGGGCCTGGCGCTGGCGGCGGCTCCAGCAGCTCCGCAGGCCCCGGGCCATCGGCGCCGCCAGCGCCGCCAGCGCCGCCAGCGCCGCCTGGGCCTGGGCACAGCGGGGCAGGCGGAGGACCAGGACCAGCGATGTCCAGGAATACCCGGGAGGGGAGGGGGCAAGAGAGGAGGGGGAGGAGGAGGAGGAGGCGGAGGAGGAGGAGGAGGAGGAGATGGAGGAGGAGGAGGAGGAGGAGGAGGAGGAGGAGGAGGAGGAAGAGCAGGAGGAGGGGGAGGAGGAGAGGAGAAGGCGGAGGAGAGGAGCAGCAGCAGGACGAATGCAGATGATGATGAGGAGGGCGGGGAGAAGGAGGAGGCGGGGGAGGGGGGGGAGCAGGAGCAGGAGGAGGAGGAGGAGGAGTTGGTGGAGGGGGAGGAGGAGGAGGGGATGAGGAGGAGGAGGAGGAGGCGGAGGAGGAGGAGGAGGAGGGGGAGGAGAGGAGGAGGAGGAGGGAGGAGGATTCAGGACAGCAGGAGGAGGAGGACGAGGAGGAGGAGGAGGAGGAGCACGAGGATGAGGAGGAAGAGGAGAAGGGACAAACACGTGGAGAGGGAGGAGAGAGGAGGAGGGGAGTTGGAGGAGGAGGAGGAGGAGGATGAGGAGGAGGAGGGTGAGCTGGATTCAGAGAAGGACGAGGAAGATGAGAAAGGGGGCAGGAGGGGGGGGGGGGAGGAGGAGGAAAAAACGAACGGCCCCCCCCATCTCCAATCCCCCCCTTCACGCGTGATTACTAGAGGCTCGTGGTACGGCATCTCCTCCTCTTCTACTCTTTCCTCCCCTCCCTTCCTCCTCCTCCCCCCCCCCTCCTCCTCCTCCCTTTCCTCCCTCTCCTCCTTCTCCTCCTTCTCCTCCTCCTCCTCCTCCTCCTCCTTCTCCTTCTCCTCCCCCTCCTCCCCCTCCTCCTGTTTTCATTGTCGCCCAGCGCCCTCGCTTGCGAGGGGGCCGCGGCGGGCCCGACGTCGCCGACGGCCGCGGCGACGACGCGAGCTGGGCCCACGCCCTGGCCGACGCGTTGTTCTCGCGCAGCGGCAGCGGTGCTGGCGCTGGCGCTCCCGATTCCCACGCCGTGGATGGCGTTGATATTGACGACGACAACAATCCCTCGCCGTTGGAGGTGACGCAGGCGGCGATGGAGGAAGAAGCCCGGGAACGCGGGCTGGACAGCGCCCGCAAGTCCACCCATGCCACGTCGACGTGCCTGGAGACCTTGGACGCGTCGATCGTCGCAGGCACCGCCCCGCCCAACGCCAGCAATAATCACCCCGATGTGTGCGATCATGAGCTGATCACTGCTGCCGCGGCCACTGTGGCTGATCTCGGCGGGGAGATCGACGAGGTGATGGAGCCCGTGGCGGCGGCGATCTCTGGCTGTCAGGATTCGCCGGATGGGCTCCGCGCTGGCGACGGGGCGGCCTCTGGCGGCGCCCCTGGCACGGGGCTTCCCCGGATGGCGGCTTGGGCCCGCGGCCTCCATGAGACGACGCAGTCTGCGCTTGCGGCGCTGGCATTGCAGAGCACCCCCATGGCCAATGGATGGATTTCGCTCGTTGAATTTTGGACGCCTGAAGAGGTCGCGCCTGCGCAGGGTGATGATGATGCTGGACCTCGTTCCCCTGCGTCGTCTCTCGTCCTCGTGCACTGGGACGATGTCGAGCACTTCGACGGCCGGAGACTTCGGGCGGATGACAGCAATCGCATTGTCTACGCCCCTCCGCCCAGGTTTGCGGATTGAAACGCCATGGTAGACGTCTGGATGGGGCTGGGCTGGCTCCGGGCCAGGGCATAGGCGCCTGCGCGGGCCCGTGCGTTTGCGTGGGCCCAAGCGCCTGCCGAGGCCCTTTGCCCTGCCAGCCCCGTCCAGTCCGCTCGCCCATGGCGCTGCCATCGCCCACGAGGAAGCAGCCAGGCCCTAGCGCCAACCGGATGGATGAACTTTCTGGCGCCTGGGGCCGCAAGGTCAGCGAGCCTGGCAATCTGCAGGTGGCCCAGGCTCCGCACGCCCGCATCATCATCGGGAACATCAACGCGAAGATGGCGAAGGCCAAGCAGTCGTTGCGCACGGACGTCCCTGCGCCAATATCCGACTTCATCGACTTGTACGACGGTTGTCGGGGGTTAGCTGTCCCAGACAGCGATTCGACGTGCGTGGCGCGCCAGAAACTTGCGGGATTCGGAGTCGGGCCCGAGGGTGCGATTTTTTGCCCCGGGCGCAAGTGCAACTAGCACTTCAAGTGCCAAGAGAGTTTCTTGAGCAAAGAGAATCTGTGGAACGGGGATTTGTTGCATCACGGCATCTGTAGCGCCGTTCAGTTGCACCCCCCCGTCGATATTTCGCTCGGCACCGACGCCTTGATTTCTATTGCCGCAAGAGCAATAGATGGGGTCAGGGTCGGCCGCCAGCCCCCCCTGCAGGCCTTCTATCTTTTCTGTCGCGTGGTCTTGGAGGGGCCAGGCGCTGGGGCCCTGGAGGGCGGGCGGCGGCCATGACAATGGCAAGTTTGAAACCAGGAGCGGCCGAAGAAGAGAAGGTAGCATTCAATGAACCCATACTCCACCCATTTACATGTCATTCCTAGTCTCCGACCCCCGCTCTCCGCTCTCCGCCGCCCGCAGGCCAGGGGCGTGCGGGCCTTGCAGTCGCAATCAATATTGCATGATTATCCAGCCTACTTTGTGCTGCGAGTCTCCGCTTGTCTGCCGTTGGTCGCGTTAGGGGGCGCTCTTGCATAATAGTAGAGTGGGCTTGGTGCGATGGGAGCTTGCTTGCATTGGAAAGCCTCGCGAAAACTTGGGGTCGTCTAGAGGTGGTCTTGGTCTTGGGCAATTGACCTCGTGGGCTCGCGAGGCTCGTGGGCTCCTGACTTGGAAAGGCGTCGCTGGATATGCCCGGCGATCCCGCGCCGTCTCAGATGCAACCTTGGACAAACAAAAGACGATCTATAACGGAGGGAGTCTGGGAGTGGAGGGCCGGAGGGGAGGGGCCCGCAGGATTGAGAGATGGATGAGGAATGAGAGGGGGGGGGGGGGAGAGGGAGAGAGAGGGAAGAGGGAAGGAGGGGGATGAATGGATGGAGAGAAGGAGGATGACATCGGCAAACACAGCGGCAAGATCACGGCAGGCGAGCAGGAGAGGAGGGTATCCGAAGACAGCAATCGCAAGACAACTGCAGAGTAACGGGCCGTAGCTCCTCTTCGCGCCCTGGGCGCAACTGGCGCAATCGGCTCTTCAGGACAGCGCAGATGCTCTGCGTAGCTGCAGAATGAGAGAGAACAGGTGATGCGGGAGGGGTGGAATGAGAGAGAGAGAGAGAGAGAGAGAGAGAGAGAGAGAGAGAGAGAGAGAGAGAGAGAGAGAGAGAGAGAGAGAGAGAGAGAGAGAGAGAGGAAATACATCTTCAGTGCGAATGCGCGCGCATGCGTGCCACCAGCTGTCGCGTTCGCAGCGTTGCACAGCCCTCTGCAGAGCCGAGCTGCTGGCGGCAGAGCATTTCGGCAGGCGAAGAACTCAGCGACGTTCGCTTGTGCAGTCAAAGCCAACGCGCACCTTCGTCGCCGTCCTCCTCACTCGGTTGTCCTCTCCCAATCTTCCCTTTCCTGCCTTCCTCCTGCCGCCGCCTTGCGCCCCTCCTGCCCTCGCTTGCCCGCCATCTTACAGCGCCCCCTGCCCCCCCCCCCCCCCTCTGTCCTCGCTGCTTTCTCGCGCTGGTGGCCGAGCCGTCGTCAGTCGGCTTGTCTTCGCCAAGCCGTGGAGGAAGTTAAAATGCCACTTGGAATTTCCGGCAATCCTGGAGTGCTAGAGTTCTCGAGTGGCCCTGTTCATCGAACGCCTCTGTTCATCCCTGGCCACCTCGGAAAGCGGATTGGGCGCGCGTCTTGTGGCCCGGGGCTGGCTGCCAAATTCGTCCGAGGATAGTCCTGGCCCCTGGTTAGTTTGATGATTGAGATCTGGGCTCGCCCTCCTTCCGCCATGCCCCCTTCCCCCCGCCAATTTACCTCGTCGGCCCATCCGTTTGGCCCTCGCGGGGCGTCGCCCCTCTCCGGGGGGGGGTGATTACTCCAGGGGGTGACGTGGATGACCTGGGCGTCGTCGTCGTCGCCCCTGTTGGACCGCCCGTCGTCGGACCCCGCGGGCTTGCCTCGAACGAGCGGAGGCCGACGTCGCAGCGCGGCGGCTCGCCCGTCAGGGCCCAGAGCGCGCCAGCGCCTCTCGCGGCAGCAGAGGCATTGATGGGCGGGGAGGAGGGGGGGACAAGGAGGAAGGGGGAGGGTTATGTCGAGGGGAGGGGATGGTGAAGACAGTGGAGACACTGGTGACGCATGTATCGACGGCGGTGAGCTAGCTAAAATGATGGAGGCTGCTACATTGATGACGATGCTTGTGTTGTTGCTCGTTTCTCTTGTGGAATGGCGCAACGTCATCGTCGAATGGCGACGCTAGCGGTGTCAGCAATGATAGCACTGCTGATTCGTTTCATTTCGGTTGCTATTTTATTCTAGTATTATTGCAAACACAATC